TGAGTGGGAGTTAAAGTGAAGATCACTGGGTAACGTTTCTTTGGTCCCTTCTTGTTATATTTCATCATTATATAGTTAGATCCACCATTAGAATTCGAATTCAATGTCAAAATTTGGGGAAAAATTGGAAGAAACTTCATAGACCTAATTATTGAGTTTTGAGTGGGCAATTGACCTCCGATTTGGGAGATTTTTATATGGTTAGACTCGTGAGAGTACGAGGGTTCTGAAAATGTGAAAATTATTCGATTCCGAGACGTTGGTCTGAGGGGCATTTTGGTCATTTTACCTATTTTCGCGCCCTAGCTCTAAATTTAATAGTGGAATCAGTTGTTTGCAATATTATTTACGATATGTAATTGAATTGAATAGATTTGGGCCATTTGGAGTCGGATACTCGTGGCAAAAGTGTGATTTCGAGTTGAGTTTGGTGCCGATTCGAGGTAAGTGGCTTGTCTAACCTTGTGTGGCGGACCTTTCCCCTTAGGATTTGTCATTTGTTGATTTGAGTGCCTTGTACGCGAGGTGACGGGCGTGTACTTGAGCCAATTGTTGGAAATCCGGTTTTTCTTAAGATATTGAGATTGAGTTCCTTTCATATTTGCTTTATTCTACTTGCAATTATAACTTCTGCTACATTAGGAAAGCATGTTTAGTTGATTTAACTTGCCTAATTGCTTAAGTTGCCTTAACTGTACCACGTGAAGCATGCTAGGCCAGTACTACCTGTTGCTTGTCTTTTGTACTTCGTTTCCGTGTACCTTCTGGTTGTGATTGCACATTTACATTGGGACTACGGATGTGGGATTCCGGTAGCTCCCCCCCTTGTTTGTTTACTTTGGGACTACGGGTTCGATTCCCGGTAGATCCCCCTGCACTTTTACTTTGGGACTGCGGGTTAGATTCCCGATAGATCCCCCTGCACATTGATAGTTGGACTACGGGACGGTATCCCGGGAGATCCTTCGGATATACACATATGATGGACTACGGGACGGTATCCCGGGAGATCCACTGGACAGTTGAGAAAAGGACTACAGGACGGTATCCTGGGAGATCCTCATTGTTACCATTGGTGTTGAGCTGTACTTATTCTGTGGTTGTTTCGTTCTTGTGTATTTGCTATTGCCTTGCTTAATCTGTCTTATATCACTGCTGTATTTATTATTTCTGTCAGATTATCATACTGTTAATTATTGTTATTACTATATTTTGTCTCAGTATGGCCCTGACCTTCCTCGTCACTACCCAACCGAGGTTAGGCTTGGCACTTACTGAGTACCGCTA